GGGGGGGGGAGGAAGGGAAAGGGAGAGGAGGGAAGGGAAGGGAGAGGGGTAGGGGGAGAGGGAAGACGGGAGGAAGTTGGCATTGCTGTTGAGGGGTCTGCCTCTTGGTGCATCCTGCCCACGTCCAGAGGCCTTCACTTCTCCATCCCTTCTCCAGAATGTTTCTCCTTTCTTTATCCAAGCACAAGGGCATGTGTATTAGCCCATTTGGACCACCACAACCAGCCCACATGCTGGGCACCTCAAGCCACAGAAACACATCTCTTATAGATCCAGAAGGTGATGGTTTGAGATGACCAGGTGTCAGCAGATGTAGGCTCCTACGCCATCTCTCCTTGACTTGAAGATGTCCGGCTTCATACCGTGTCCTCTTAGGACGGCTACTATGTAAGCTCAGGGCCCACCCTAGCCCATACCCTAACCCCCATCTTAGCATAACGACCTCCCTGGAGACTTGATCCAATCACATTCCGAGGTCCCAGGACATGGGGCCTCAGCATACAAGCGTGGAGGGAATATGGTCCCTCTATAGCAGTGTAGTGTACGTCCCTGTTTTTCACCTCGCCTGCTGTGGAAACATGTGTGGAAGGGCTGCCTGATGCAGTGTCAGCCATCTAGTTAAATAACTCCTTTGTGTACCTCAAACATTTTGCTGTTGATCTGCAACTTGCATTTAGCCAGCGTTCTGTGTTTTGGACTGCTGCATGGCACCTCGCCTTCCCATGAGCCTCTTCATTCATTTTCACAGGTATGGGACAGACACAAGGAGAAAGGAAAGAACTGGAAACCAGAGGAGTGTCTGGGGTCTGGGAAGCCCTCAAGGGCCCTCACAGCCATCAAGACACCCACAGGCAGGGTGGTCTGGAGGTCAGATCACTCATTAAAGGATTCCTAAGAGGCACCTTCTGTTTCCTCCTGGGTCTCAAGTCTCCGTCAGATGGCAAACATGACATAATACCAACAGGGATTTCTCTGAGCTTCCCTGAATGATTTGACTTCCAATTGCACAAACACATTACATCAGCCACGACCGTAACCCAGCACTCAGGATGCAGATGTGGAAGAGGACCAGAAACCTGAGGCCAGCCTGATCTACATAGCAAACCCCAGCCCGGCCAGGACTACATAGGGGGGGTTCCAAAACCAGAAAATATATCCTCCAGGAAAACAAAATGATCTCTCCAAATAACCAAAAAAACCACCATCCTCCGAAACATCCCACCATCCACGTTAGGAGGATGAAAATCTAGCGCCCAATCCCATAACTGCGGCTCTGTAAGCCATTGAACAACTCAGGAAAAGTTTAAGAGGGATTTGGAGACCCAGTAGGGGGCCAAGCATATCTGAACTGATTTGTGTCTCTTTACACTTTCTTTATTCTCTGCTCTGGACGGTTCTACCTTAAGGAGTCATCAGCAAGAAAGGGGGCATGCCCTCATTGGTGTGCCTCAGTCAATGCTCACCTGCACCCTTCCAATACCTGCCTCCACCTGAGCTCCCCAGCGGGCCTCAGGCAAGCTCCTTCCTACACTGAGCTCCTTCTGTGAACTCCCCATCACAGCAGAGCCCAGCAACAGGCCACTCGCCCATGTACTGAGATCTCTGACACCATGAGGCACAGCAAACCTTCCTCTTTTTAAGATGGGTGTCTCACGTATTTTGCTATAGTGAAGGGAAGCCCTATTCTCATTTCAATACTCTTATTTCTGTCTCGACTCACAACTAACTGACCCTAAGTCATTATACTAGGAAGCAGCAGAGAGGAGATGGTTCTGTTCCTTCACTTTTCCTTCAGCATAACCCTTGCACAAATAATCATCATAGACTCACCGAATACACAAGTAGCATCCTAAGAAATAGAACACTACCTCCTCTGCCCCGCCAATCTCATAATCCCTGGACCCCAGATCCCAAAGGACCCTTTGTCACTACTCAACCCCAGAGGTCTAGAGGTCACCACTGCTCTGTGTACCCTGGCACCCCGTGCCTTCCAGGGGATGAAGGGTGTGATCTCTTCGGTGCCTGGGTGTCTCAGTGTGGTGTTCCTGAGCTGCTGCAGCACCAGCGTGAGGAGCTGGGGTTGGCTCTGCTTTCCTGTGGGATAGAACCCCCTGTCCTGACACTGTACAGCTTGCTCACCCACCTCCCACAGTGATCACAGGGCTCACTCGGGGTTCCCAGCAGCTGCCAGCAATGCTGTGCTCTGAAGTCTGACTGTATTGTCCAGTGAGTACGTGCACACACACATACACACACATCACACACACACACTCTTCTCACCGGCAGTCCTGGGGTGGATGTGAGGTGCTGTGCAGTGTGGGTGTGCATAGCTTTTGAAAAACTTGCAGAGTTTCAAGGTAATTATATCTGTCAAAGATTTCCACAGCCCTTATTGTTACACATATAAAATCCACTTAAGGCCTCATGAATACGTTAAGATGCAGCTTTTTGTTTTTTAGGTTTTTTTTTTTTTTTTTTTTTTTTGGTGGTGGTGATGTTTTAAAATGACATAATCCAGGCTGGCCTTGAACTTGTGATTCCCCTGCCTTAATTTCTGAGTGCTGATATTTGTGCAGCCACAGAGTTTGTGGGTTGAGTTGTGTCCCCTTTAAGCTTATGCGTTGACACTCCAGGCTCAGAGACCTCAGAGCTACCTTATTTGGAAATAGGTATGCCTTTCTGCTACAAGCAAAGGAATGCCAAGCATCGTCTCTAAGTCACCTGCAGTCAACAGAAAGGCCTGGAGCAGACCCTTGGGCTGCAGGACTCTAAGGTCAGGCATGCCACTCAGTGAGGGCAGCCCCATGAGCAGGGCTCAGGGTGGCGATTCCTGCAGAAAGATGTCTGCTGACTAGACACCCAATGGGCCTGGGGAGCCCGGTTAGATATTGTGTTTTCAGGAGGTTTTCCTTTTGAATCTCCTTCTGGAAGCCGTCTCCTGCACCATTCATCATCCTTCTAAACATTTCCAGAGAAGGTTAACAAATGACTCGGAGGACAGTGGAAAGCTGGTTGGTGATGGTCAGCCCACTGTCACTACTCACTGGCCTTGGACAAGAGAGGGCCTAGGCTGATCACAGGCACCCACTTTGGCAGACTGGACCTCACGACACTCACACACCACACACACACACATCACACACACACACACACACACACATGGGCACATACATACCCTCCAATAAAAACAAATAAACCTTTAAACATTATAAGCACCCATTCTTACTTCGTAAGCCAAGGTCGCCTGATACTGTGAGGAATGAAGTCAGGCCAGGTTGGAGGGGCCACGGCACAAAGGAGGCTGTGACAATTTTATTGAGAACAATCAGATTTTTAATACTTTTATCAGAAACAGAACATAATGGCCATCTCCAGGATCAAACCGTTGTAGCCCCAGGAAACAATGCTGCATGCAAGCTATCCAGGGCCAGCATTTTCATGTCAGAGACCCATTGTCCTGTCAAAACCTTCATGCTTCCCTGACTATCAAGGGAACACACGGAGAAACACAAAGCGACCCGAAAGCTTCACTGCCTGAGGGAATGCATGGGTCTCTCAGGATCTGGGAGGCTCCCATTCTCGAGGCTGTCAAGTGAACGCCATGATTTCCTACCCCCCCCCCCCCCCCCAAAATCCATAGTTGTCTAACATTAAATACTTTTGTAGTCTTCCATGAAGTTTAATTTACTTCATCAGTTACTTCATCCCAAACTGCTCGCTGCTATAAAGACCAAGATGCTAGGCAGGGTTTTGTCCAAGGGACACAGCCAGGATCATCTGAGAAGAAGGAACGTCCATTGGTTGAGAAATTGCCTCCATTAAATTGGCCTGTAGGTAAGCCCATGGGAGGTGGTCTTAAAAGTGATTGATGCGGGGGAGGAGTCACCCCACTGTGGGCAGGTCCACCCCTAGGTGGGTGGTCCTGAGGTGTGTAAAACAGGCTGAGCAAGCCAGAAGGAACAGGCCTGTAAGCAATGTTCTTCCGTGGCCTTTGTTTAGGTTCCTGCCCCCCCCCCCCCCATGATAGACTGTGGCCTGTAAGGCAGATAAACCCTTCTTCCCCATGCGGCTGCTTTTGGTCATAGTGTCTGTCACGACAGTAGAAGGCAAACCTAAGCAACTGTATTCCATTCCTTTGGGCGCCTGATGACAGCCGGCTAGGTGCTCACCATAGCCGTAGGATTATGGAGTGAGTGAAATAAGAAAAGCCCTACACGTGTCACACTTGCTGAGTGTCAGCACTTTCCCCTGGGATGCCCCTGACTTCCTGTCTCTACAGCTGGACCTGGACAGTCTTTGTGGTCATTTCAAATCGGTTGAGTGACATTTATTCTAATGGACATCTTAAGAGACTTGATGTGCTTAGCAAAAGCCATCTGTCTGATGAAATCAGCCTAGTGGCATTAGAACAGGCAGACTATATCCTCGACTCTGAGATTACGGCGCTGGGCAGGGTGAATCTGGGTCAGCAGGACACAGGTTAGCAGAGCTTGTGGAGGCCATTGGGTAGCAGAGCCCTGGGCTCAGCAGACCTCTCTGCAGTCAGGAGGTATTGGAGGACATAGTCCCAGTTACAGGAAGGAAGGGAGGGAAGGAGGAAGAGGCAGAGGAGAGGAGAGGAGTAAGGGGGAAGGAGAGGGAAGATGGAGGGACGGAGGAGGAAGGAAAGGGGGGCAGGAAGAGGAGGGAGGAAAGGTGAGATGGAAGACGGAAGTGAGGGAAGAAGAAAAGGAGGGAAGAGAAGAGGAAAGAGGAAGAGAGAAGGAGGGGGGAAAAGAAGGAAAGGGGAGAGAAGAGGAATGGGAAGAGAAGAGGAAGAGGAAGGGAAGGGGGAAGATAAGAGGAAGGGGGAAGAGAGAAGGAAGGGAAAGAGAAGGGGAAAGGAGGAAAGGCAAGGTTTACTTGCCAGCGTCTAAAAGAGACGGAATGAGTTGTCTGGGCAACAGTATGAGGCCGTGTGCTCTGTGTCTATCGTATGCTGGGAGCAGAACTAGGCAGCAGGTGTGTATTTTGCTAAAAGATACTCTGCTCATTTAAACCTTTTCTTCCAAAGTGAAAACCCACACAGCCTCCCATGGAAACATCTCAGAGTAAGGAGAGCTGTTGCGGCAGAGAACAAAAGCATGTGTGGAGGGCTATGGGCAATCAGTGCTAACACTGATTGGGTCCCTGTGAGACACGGGCTAGCAGTTAGGCTCTGTGGAATGGATCTGAATCTGGGTCCTCCACAGCCTGTCAGATCTGGACCTGCAGACTAGCTTCCTAGAGAGGTAAACCTTTCCTGGGGCTGTTGTGACAAAAGACCGAAACCAAGGGTGCCTTGAGGTGACAGAAACAAATTCTTTCCATTTTGGAGGCCAGGAGTTCAAAGCTCAGGCTTTTGCAGGGGCTTGCTCTCCGAAGGTTCCAGAAAAGAAAAGGGCAACCAACTTGTTTAGTTTGCCCAAGATTAGTTTCCGTAGTGAAGCCCTCACACGGAGGACAGGTGGCCTCCCTCCTCAGCAGACAGATGGACAAGACCCGTGCCTGCCTAATCTGCTTTGGCTCCTGTCTCCTTGTTCGGATTTAGCACCTCGTTGAGGATATACAGCCAACAGGTGTTTGCTGAGTGAATGTCCCTCATCAGAGAGTGAACAATTGCTGCTAATATTACCGGTGTTACCAATACATAGGACAGATTGGACTCGTAGCTTGGTCCAAGGCACAATAGAAGTTTCGCGCTAGTATGCTGAGCCAAGTCATCAAGCAGAGTGCCTGGAGCGGAGCGTGTCCTGCTTGCCCCAGAGTCTGCACAAGTGTATGGGTCCGTCACGTTCTCATGGTTTCATTGCTGGGCCCGGAGTTACAGGAGCCACGGCCAACAGCAGGATGGATTCACCGGGCTAACCCTCATGGAAGCCTTGGTTGCCACCTGGGTTTCCCTGGGCAGAGGTCCTCTGCATATGCCTCTGGAATTATCTGACAGAAAGCAAGCTCTCTGCAATGAGAGACCCAAAGGAGCCTGTCCCGGGCTCCCGCAGATGCTCCATCCCCCAGATGTTAATGGAAGCTTCCCGGGAAAGTTGCCACATTGGCACTGCAGGGCTTCCGGGCGGATCGATTACTGAGAACTCTGGGATCGTAGAGTTGGAATATTGCAACGCCAGAGCCAAGTTATCTTGGTCTTTAGCCTTTAGTCTCTTGGCGGCCACTTCTGTGTCTGAGCCGCCGTTCCTGTGACTATCAGTGAAGCCTAGGACGCCCGAGAGGCTTGCAGCAGGGACACTGCTCTCTCTGCTGTAACTTGCCCACCTGGCGCTGCCACTGCCGTACCAGGTAAATCTGCTCAGGTGTGGCTTTCTTTGGTCCACGTTCCTGCGGTCGCTCATACTCAGCTTCGTAATAAGACAGTTCTTCTTTCCTTTGGAACAAAGACTGCTTCGCATCAGTAGTCACGGCACATCTTTTTCTCGGAATAAGTCTTAGCAGGGCGGGTAACCCCCAAATCTGTCTGCTCAGTCCTCCCAGAGACTCACCAAGCCCAGGACTCCAATACACAGTCGGTAGAGGTGCATGGAGCTGCTTGCTGCTCCTGGCCGCCACCACCCCCGAGGCCCAGCCCTCTCTGCTCTTATACACCTTATCACTGATTCCCAGGCTAGCCCTCCGGAGAATGTGGCAGAAAGCATGGCGCCAATGGCGATGGAGAGGGAGGAGAGCGGATCTCAGGGCTGCCTGCTCTCAGGAATCTCCGGGATGAGTACCCTCAGACTGCTTCTGTGAGGAGTCAAGACCCCAGGGTCCCCCAGAGTCCCTGCAGCCCTGCAAGCTCTCATAGGTGACCAGAGTTTGTTCCACATAATAAACACCTCTTTTGCACTAACTTTAGTGTTTTTTTTTATGTATAACTGGATGAGTATAATTATGGGCAGAAATGTCAATAAAATGGTCACGAAGTAGGTGTGAAGAAATCTCAACTTGCTGGAAATTTTAAAAAGTAATCTGTTTTCCAGGACAGCCTGGTCTACATAGCGAGTTCCAGGACACCGAGAAGCCCTGTCTCAAAAAAAACAATTTAAAAAAAAAAAAAAAAAAGGTTAACCGGGCACTGGTGGTGCAGGGACCAGAGCTGAGGGCCTCCAAGAAGGCCTACAGGCCTGTGGTCTGGTGAACTAGAGCAGTCTGGGGAAAGAACAGCTTTTCAACAAATATGAGAGTTTCTGTTCCACTGAACTGGATCAAGATCTAAATGCAAAATTCATGATGTTACATTTGGCTTCTAAGATAAGGCACCAAAATCCCAAACACAAGACAGGAAGCCTTGATAAAACTGCAATTAAAACTTAATCTTCAGCAACCCACAGAATGAGAGGGAAGATTTGTTAATCACTGATCAGGGAAGAATCTGATGCCTGGGAAAAAATTGCACATGCTGGACTTACTCAACGCAGCAATAAT